CAATCAATCAATCATACTATGTATGTAGTATGAGCCAGTGGGCGGAAGAGAGCCGTCTGTTCCGTCACAACAAATCGTATACAAAATCAAATTCGAATTTTAAATCTTTATAACTTTTTATATAAAATCACTAAAATTCTGAAAATCTGTACCTGATCTAATAACTATATAAAGAATCTATAATTAAAATTTCATTCAATTATATCGAATGAATAAAAAGTTATAAAAATCAAAAATCACTGTTTTTGGTGTGAAAGGGTGGCCCGAAAGTAGGGTAGTTGACTTATTGGTATTTCATACAAATTACTTTGGTATTACTTTGGTGCCGCTTAATAGTCTTTTGGTATATCGTGACAACAATCTCTAAATCTGAAATCCTTGGCAGTTTTTTTTTTTGCGAATGTTATAATCATATAGATTTTTGTGCTTTTTCTTTATGTTATATACATCTGGACTCTGAGAGAGAAAAAGAGTAGGGATCAGGTCCTCGGGGGAAATAATTTTCTGCCGATAAGTTATTCGAAATCAAAATGCCCACTTCTAAATGTGGATCTCATCCAAGTTTTTATACTTTTTAAAAGCTGGAGACTTCCCTGTTTACTAGTCTAATTACCAATTTGGACTTAGCAAACTAAACTGATTGGTTGAACCAAATGTACTTATACTGTATACAGTATAGACCGTCGTAGTACAGCCTGTAAGCCTCGCTTAGTTCATACTAGAAATCAACTTGAACGCTGTATATTATATAACTATTTAATTTGATCTTCAACCAGAAGAACCTCCATTACAACAACTTCATCTTATTTCCAACAAGCCAAAAATCCACAACTTGTCAATCGATAAATTATTTTACCACTCAATCATAAACATGGACTTCATTCGAGACATGCAACAAACACTCAGAAACATGTCAATTTCTCAATCAAAACCTCAAACTATCATCGCGGCCCGGGAGGCAGCTATCCACCTAGGTGGCTGCAGCGCATACATCGCCATCATCTGCAAAGCCTTCGCCTGCTGCCCCAAATATACCCACCGATACCTTCAATTCATCGACCCAGTACTCGTTGGTCTCTTCCTTTGGACACTATGCCATGCTTATCAGAAGCTCAAACAGATCATGGATGATTGGAAGCGCGAGGAGACTCAGAAGGCTAGGGTCACGAAGTCGCAGTTTGTGGTGAAACAGGATGAAGTTGAGGTTGAGAAAGTCAACGAGAACACTGAGTGTAGGAACGGTGGAAAGTCAAAGAGAAAAAATCATCGTGGTAGAGTCAAGGCTAAGAAGGCGAAAGGAAAGGTTGAAGGCGTTGGCTCCGCAAGTTCCGCAACCAGCGGGGAGTTTTAAGGCTTCTTTGTGGATGGACGATGGGCGAAGTGTTAACTGTGGTGGTTGAGTTTCGGGTTATGAGTCCTTTCCGCATAGAAACACGTAACAAACATGGACCTGAACATATGGTTGTGTGGTCTAAAACCTCTAGGACAGAGAGATGAAGGGTGTTTGCATTTGGTCTGTTACTTTTGTGCAGGAATTACTACATCACGTTTGATATAAATTCGACCGAATTCTTTGATGATAGTCACTGGATGTTAGGAGAACATTGCGAACTGACGGTTATCGATTCTCTGATATCTGATACCCGAAGATAACATCAATGTGAATCCAATACTACCAACAAATAAAGTTCACTGCCTGTCAGTTCACCAGCGTCATGCATTCTTGAGAATCGAATTGTGAGTGATCCGTAACCATCTCAAGTGCTCACATGACCGTCATTCTCTCAGTGGTAGGGCATGAATGAGATACGGACCTACCGAAATTCCATCCGTTTCCCATTTCATCCGGTAAAGTATATTTATTATCGCGCTAACCCAATTTCTCGATATGGTTTTGTCCACGACGTTTTCATCAATAGTGGATCTAAGAAATTTCCTCACATTTTGGTGACAGGATGACTTATAATATGAAGAGAGCTTTCGCAGTGTACAGGAGAAAATTATACATCACCAAGACATCCCAAGAAATAATTCAAATAATCCATGGTGAATTTAATTACCTCTTACCACTCCATCACTTTGTATTCTACGGAAGAACAGATCATTTTGTCTCTCTGAGTACTATATCCAATACAAATATCGAATTGATATTCATATTCAAGAAAAATAGAGAAATAAAAAGTCACGTGAATGGCGGTGGAAACTAGGTTTGTGGGTGGATCTTCGTCATTTTTCAAGGTTTACTTACATTCTTAGATACTCGTCATCGATCGTATATTGAACAATTTACATATGTGGCCTGATGGTGAAAAGTTCAAGTTCTGATCAAATGTCACTTACGGCACTGATGTTCTAAGCTAATTTAACCCCTTTTAACTAGCTCGGTTAGCCTTTCTGACCCTTCTCCACTTATTTTCCTGGCACCGCCCTAGTTTCTCCAAACTCTTCCCAGTATTCACATCTGGTTACTTAATCTTTAGTGGCTTATTTTTGATCTTAGCTTCTCTTAACAGTATTTGTACGAAATACTATTCTCATTCCCTCGGGCAAATTGTCATGGATTACGAATAATCTACTTTGTACAATACAAAAATATAATAAAATAAGTGTTGAAAAGCTGGCTGGATGACATACATCATTTCGTCCCGTGATATAAGTTCTACGTGCCACCACAGGGGTCGAATACGCGCGCCGCAATGGTTCCAGACTCGGAACACAGTTCACCATTGCTTCCGGGGCTTGTAGTGCCAAGTTCCACCGGCTCATCGTGGAGATATGTACATGTGACTCTCGGTATCCGCATTTTCTGCAATAAGTCGGCACAAGCCAATATGTTAGCGTGAATGATATTCACGGAATCTTAGTCGTAATCGTACATACTGTGCAGCAGTACATAACTGAGGGAAAGGTGGTGTTGTAGCGTATGCTTTTAAAAAAATCGGTGACGCCACGCACTTATGCTTTGTCTTAGTATAAGAAAAACAAGGTCAAATTCTGTATGTTGTGATTTAAAAGAGTATAATTATAAATCGAATGAAGAATTCCGGCCAATAGTAGGAACTCATCAGTGTACTAGACTTGTCAAAATAACCTTAAATCTCTAGCGTTACGAAGTTTTTCATGAGTGCAGTTTACAGTCTAAGCTCGAGTAAACGAAAACGAGTGTCCAGCTGTGTTTGGCCTGGTTATCGATCACATCAAACCAGATACAATCCAATTATTATTATTAAACAGAAATATAGAACCCTTAAATAATCTATTTTATTGATTCTTTCAGTTATCTGCTTGGCTTTCTGGCTTGATCAACAGCTAAACCAAATACAGCTAGCTGGACCCGTTTTCAGTTATTTGGGTTTATACAGTACTTTTGTCAGTAATAGTGAATTTTTATAATGAATGCATTAGTTCATATTACATTTACACTAATATTCAAGTTTAGGGATAGTCTCAATAATAATAAACTGTAACCTCTTATTGTCTCGTACTTCTTGATGGCTGTGCTGTATAGAAAGTTGTAATTACAGAATACTTCTCTGATGAATACCTCATGGGTCGGATAATCCGCGGGTCCCTACAGGTTGCGGGTTATTTTGCCCAGCCTAGATTATCATCATCATCATCATCATCATTCTGATTCTGATTCTGATTCCTGGTCCTGGTCCTGGCTGCTGCTGCTGCTACTGCCACTGCTAACAGTAGTTCGCAGACCTAGCTAGTAGCGGTGTCGATCTAATGACGTATTTACGGCGACTCGGTTGGTATAAATCAGAATATCCTCGCAGCTTTTCCTTCTGCAAAAAACAGACAAAATCATCTCACGAATTTCATCAAACTTCAAAGACTCTCAGCATATAATCTTTCAACACACAACCTGTCAATACATAACCTCCCAATACCTCGACACACAGTCTCAACACAACACACATAACAATGGCTTCCAAGCAAACTCAAAACCAAGACATCAGTCTGCAGACTGTTAAACAACCACAGCATAGTATCCTCGAAAGAATGCCATTGGAACTCAGAGAAAAGATATTTGGCCATTGTGGCAAAGACACATTTTATTCAGGCGGCCAGGGTCCAGCTCTATTGCAAGCACTTCGAGGTCAACCACGCGCTTACGCACACGCGTTGAAAATCTTCGAGAGACTGAACAGTTACGAACTTGATGTGGTCACCCCCGTCCAGATGAAAGATATATTGGCAAAGAACGAGACGGGCCTAGAGGAGAAACCTACTCTGAAGCTCATTTTGCGGTAAGGTCACATGATTATTCTCTTAGCAGAATCTACGAACCCTGATACCACAGACCGATGCTGACTTGAGATTAGTGGCCTGTACGGCACGGAGCAAACATACTTTGGTAACTTTTGGATTTCCCATCCTAGAAGAGTCATGGGCTTTGTAATCGACCGAGTACGCAAGGCCAGTTGTATTCAAGGTTTCGACCTTGAATACGAAACCTGCCCTCCAACCCTTCGCAGCTCCCGCGTATTTCGTTGCGAAGATAACGAAAGGGATTGGATGTTCCTCAAAAACATTCTTTCTCTCGTTCCCTACCGAAAGCTCACTAAAGCCATTGTTCAATTACCCAATCCAAAAAGTTGGCAGATAGAATATCCTAGGAGGTCGCCCGCAGAAAATCGAGCGAGACGAGATGCGGTGGCAATGGCAGTGATTGATTGTATCAATAGGAAATTGGGTATTCAAGGCCTCCTTGTCGGCAAACCAGGTAATAATTACGGCGGCTTTTGCCTATGGGAGGCTCCTAGAGGACAATACATGGATTGGTCTCAGGATTTGATAGAACCATGGGCTTTATCGGGTGGTTACGGGAATAACTTTTTCCAGTCCGAGATCAACTTTTTGGAGCTTCAGGAGAGGGATGGATGCTTTTCCATGGTCCATCCACATGAGAAGAGTTTATCGGACAATTAATCGGGGTGTATGACGAAGACGACTTGTTTATCATTTGCTGGTGGAATGTGCTTGCGGTCAAATATCTGTTTGATCTCGAAGACTTATCTCAACTAGGGTCGGGCGTTTTATGTAAAGCAGAGCTGGATTTCGATGAAGCGTAATTTGGGTAAAACTGGGTTATTTTCTGTTTTGTATTTGGAAGAAACTGTTTCTCATTGGGATCTTATTCATGTATTAAAAAAATTTAAGGTTATTAATCATTCATTGTTTCTCGATCTTTTTTATTGATTACTATTGAGAAAATATCTCCACCTGTTATACCTTAATGTTAAAGTACCTTAAATAGGATCTCTAAAATATATCCTATAATCATAGTAACTGGATTATTACAAAATGTAAAGCAAGCTACTTCATTACGTGTGACCAAAAGGGTATAAACAGGACTCCGATTGTGTACTTAGAATCTACAAGTGAAGAGCTATGTAGGGTGCTAAAAGTAGGACTATATATACAGGTATTGGGAGCCATAAGGGCTAGGCCCAGAAGAGTGAAATTGATTGATTGATTGATTTAATTTACGTCCATCTTCAGTCTAAGACTATATAGGACGGCTAGACCCTATAGGCACTAGCAGGTAACTTTTTATTTTACAAAAATAGATATGTTCGATTTGGGGAAGTGAAAACAAATGCTGGGGACCAATGCCCGCTTATTGTACGCGTTGCATATAATAAGAAAATATGAATATCAAGGGTTATAAGAGGGTTACCCCTCTACCCTCTCTTTCCTCCACTGCTACTTCTTCCTCTTCCACTACTGCTACTACTTCTTCCTCTTCTACTACTTCTTCCTCTTCAACTACTTCTTCCTCTTCCACTACTATTTCTTCCTCTGTTTCTTC